TCTCTCTCTCTCTCTCTCTCTCTCTCCCCCTCACTCCCTCTCACAGGACTGAGCCTGGTGAAGATGGAAAGGCTGCCACAGCAACAGTGAGAAGCATTCAGAGAATGGAGTGTGTTGCTGTACTCTTGGAATCCCAGAACCTGGGGAGGTGGGGACAGGAGGACCAGAAAGTTCAGAGACATTCTCAGCTAAATATTGAACGAAAATGGGGACATGACTGCTCCTGCCTATGGTTGCGGATAGGATTTATTGTACATATGGGGAAATTGCACAGCCAGAGGCATCTGGAAGGGTCCAGACTAAACCAGGCCATGGCAGTGGGGGGGGGGGGGAAGCACATGAGAACCAAAAGAGAGCTTGTGGATGAAGAGAATGCCAAAATGGCTGAGTTATGCAGGAATCAGAAGCTGGGAGAAGGAAAGCGAATTCCCTAGGTCGGGAGAGGTTTAGGATAGGGAAGAGCCACAGACCCTGTCTCAAAAAAACAAAACAAAACAGAAACATAAAAGCCTAAGAGACACAAGGAGTCTAAGAGACCCTGAGAGGAGCCAAAAAAGACCAACATGGTGATGGAATCAGAGACACTAGAGAGGAGGGAAGGGTAGACACCAGGGAAATTCTGAGGAGTGTGGCAGGGACAGTATAAGGATGAAAGAAGTAGATTGACAGCCATGAAGCTTGTGAGAATGAGGAACTTTTTAGAGGTGGGAGAAATAGAAGGAACTAGAGACACTGGATCGATGGAGACCCTGAGTACCCCCAATATAGGTGTCTGTCACAGAGGGCTGAGTCTGACTCTCAGCACTGCGAACCAAGCTCTATGCCCAGCACCATCATCAGGCAGCTCACAACTGCCTGTAACTCCTTCTCCCAGGGATCTAATGTCCTCCACCCAAAATGGCGCTCACATGCACGTACCCTCACACAGACATACATGCATAAAAATAAATCTCTGAACCACCAAAATCCCCCACCCCCATCACAGTGTTTTCTTCTCCCCACCCCTGGGAACTCTAACCTGGTCCCCTGCTCACTCCACTGGGTGATTCTCAGGATTTAGCAGCCAGAGCCCCTGAGATACCAAGAGACCAAGGCCTCAATTTCTCCTTAATGATTCTGGCCCTGGGGTGTTGGGGTGAGCCTGGGCATGGTGGGCTGATGTGGAGTGTCTGACCAACACCTGGAGGTGCTGGCACCCCTCTCCTTCCAGCCACCAACAAGCCGCTCCACACATCTCCTTTTAAAGGCTCTCAACATTAATCGCTGCGATTGACTGCGCCTTGCCTGGCCTTGCTAACGAGGCTTTTGTCCCCTTAATTGGCTATCTCCAAGAGCTTTTCTCTGCCTCAGCACCGACGCTTCCCTGTTTTATATCCCAGGCCCAACTATGTGTTAATTGGGCATGTAGGAGATGTGTTGAGCACCCCCTTCCAGCCCCTCACCTGCCGTCATCAGCGGTCATCAGCGTCCAGCATTCACGGTGGGACAGACACAGCGTGAGGTCGCACCCTAATTGCCAGGGTGTCTTCTCATTCTGCAAAACCAGAACTTGACTCCTGTCCCATTTGAGGGTGATTTCTGATCTGCACTGTGACTCCTGAGCAACCGGCCATGCACCCTGGGTCCCCTGTAGTCCCTGAGGTCTTCGAGCCTGGGCCCCGAGAGCTGTGTGCCTTTGTGAGCGGGGCTTCGGCCCACATGCTGAGAGCCCTGCAGCCCAGGCGTACCCGGCCCCCCAAGCGCAGGCCCAATCACCGGAGGTTTCTACACAACCAGATCTGCAGGTGAGGGGTACTGGGAGGGAGGCTCTGGGTAGGCACCGAGAGGCCCCAAGTTTGGAGCATCATTTTGTGTGCATTTCCGTGCTCCTTGTCGGTGCTAGAATCAACATCCATCACTGAGCAAAACCAATGATATCTCCAGCCTCCACAGAGCCCGAGTCCTGGTGGGGAGGCAGAAGGTAAGAAATGGCCTGAATAAAATAAGTGTAGCCAGGCATTGTGGCACACGGCTGTAATCCTAACAAGCCTAAGGCGGAAACAGGATGGTCGCTGCAAGTTTGCTGCCAGTTTACGTACCATGTAAGAGGCCAGCCAGGTTACATAACAAGGCACCACGGTGTGGATGTACCTTGAAAAGAAGAATCTAGAGTGAGTGGATCTCGGCTGTCCAACCAGATCCCATTAAGAGAGAATCCCAACAAAGCTTCCAGGTGCCAACTGGCAGAGAGGCAGTGGTTAACAGGTAAGGGGTCCCATTCGGAGAGCACAAAAAGTCCTGGAGCTAAGTACAAGCTAGTGAATACTGGGAAGATATGGTGGCATGTGCCTATAATCCCAACCCTAGAGAGGCCGAGGGCGGAGGGTTGCTGCTAGCTCCATTCAGCCTGCTCTATATAGGAAGCACAAGGCCGTCCTGGACTACATAGTGAGATCTTGTTGTCTAGGAAGTTACAGGGGCCTGACAGATGACAGGAAAGTATGTATTTTATTAGGTTGATAGGAAAGGAACTGTAGTTTTGAACTATGTATTTTGAATCATTATAAGTAGACTCATCAAACATCTAGATTTCAAAAGTGGTACAAATTGGGCTGTGAGGTTTTTGCCTCATCAGCCAGATTCACCTGACCCTCTGGACAACTGACTTCTGCTTTCTCAAGCAGCTTCATATATCAGTGGTTCTCAGCCTGTGTGGTCACGAGCCCTTTGGAGTCACATATAAGATATTTACATTATGATCCATAACAGTAGCAAAACTACAGTTATGAAGTAGTACAAATAATTTTATGGTTGGGGTCACCAGAACATGAGAAACTGTATTAAAATGGGTTGCAGCATTAAGAAGGTTGAGAATCACTGCCATATATGGTATTTTAAAAGTTATTTTTAATTAGGCATATTCTGTGTATGGATAAAAAATAGTTTCCTTGAGACAGGTTTGTGTGTGTGTGTGTGTGTGTGTGTGTGTGTGTGTGTGTGTGTGTAGCCCTGGCTGTCCTGGACTCAATTCATAGAAAAGGCTGGCCTTGAACTCACATTGATCTGCCTGCCTCTGCCTCCCTGAGTGCTAGGGTTAAAGGCGTGCACCACCACACCTGGCTAAGACACACCTTTTTATTCAAAACACGAACTATAATAATCAATACATTTTTGCCAAGGAGAAGGATTATTTATTATTATTGTTTTTGTAGTGTAAAAATTCAGGCTTGGAGGGGCTAGACAGAGGGGGTTTTGTTTGTTTGTTTGTTTGGTTGGTTGGTTGGTTGGTTCGTTTTGGTTTTGGTTTTTAGAGACAGGGTTTCTCTGTGTAGCCTTGACTATCCTGGACTTGCTTTGTAGACCATTCGGCCTCAAACTCACAGAGATCTGTCTGCCTCTGCCTCTGCCTCCCTGAATGCTGGGGGTATAGGCATGTGCCACTGTGCCTGGCTAGACAGAAAGGTTAAGGGTTAAGAGGGAGTGCTGCTCTCCCATAGGACTCAAGTTCAGTTCCCAGCACCTATATTAGATTGCACACAACCACCTGTATCTAAACAGCTCCAGGAGATCTGAAGCCCCCTTCTGGCCTCCATAGGCAACTACACTCATGCATACACTCACACACACACATACACATACACCATACACATAATTGAAATACATCTTTAGAAGCCATATGTGGGCTTCCTCTGAGCAGGGGTCTACATCCTCTCCATGTACAGTCCTTGGTTGGAGTATCTGTCTCTACAGGACCACCTGGGCCTAGTTTTTTTGGTTCTGTTGGTCTCCTTGTAGAGTTCCTGTCCCCTCCAGGTCTTTCTATCTCTCTCTTCTTCCATAAGTTTTCCTGCACTCTGCCCAAAGTTTAGCCTGATAGGCTAGGATCAGATGGAAGGGGAAGAGGACCGCCCCTATCAGTGGACTGAGGAAGGAGCATAGAGGGAGAAGACAGAGGGAGGGTGGGACTGGGAGGAAACAAGGGAGGGGGCTACAGATGGAATACAAAGTGAATAAATTATAATAAATAAATTAATTAATTAAAAATGAAATTAGTTGGAAGATAAAAGAGGGGAATGTGTAGTGTTGGAGGGGAGGTGAGAGCATATAAAAAGGGCAGATGATAGTAAAAGAACATATTCATGGAATGAGAAATAACTGTTATAAAAAACATTATCTGTACAATTAGAGTATTTTCAAAATGGGAAAATTATTATGGAAAAAAGAAAAGGAACCATATATGAAGGTGCTTGAAGAAGTGGCAGTCAGTTGTCCAGAGGTCAGGTGATATGGCAGATGAAGCAAAACCTCACAGCCCAATTCATTCCACTCTTAAAAATTGGATTATTGGTGAGAAGTCAGGCATTGTGGTGGAAAAGAACTGAGCCTTTTCTGTTGGCCCATGCCAGCCTTAGGAATCAAAGTTCCAGGTGCATCTCAGGGACTTGCCAAGCCTGCTTCTCAGATTCAAAATGCTTAGGGGATGAGACTGGCTTCAGATTACTGAACTGTAGTGAACTATAATTTTTTTTTTTTTCTCCAAATAGCTTTGGGATGTGCTGTAGAGTTTCTTCTCTGTTGGGCTGGCCATCATCTGTTGTTGTATAAAACCCTTTTTCTTTCTTTCTTTTTTTTTTAAGACAGGGTTTCTCTGTGTCCTAGACTTGATTTGTAGACCAGGCTGGCCTTGAACTCAGAGATCTGCCTACCTCTGCCTCCTGAGTGCTGAGATTAAAGGCATGTACTACCACGCCCAGCTAAAAACCCATTTTTCATTGTATGCCACAGTCCAATCAAGAAATAGTTCTTGATCTTTGCATGGTGTTGCATGCCTTTAATTCTAGCACTTAGGAGGCAAAGGCAGAAGGAGCTTTGTAAGTTCAAGGACAACCTGGTCTACACAGTGAGTTCCAAGACAGCCAAGGCTACATTGTGAGACCTTGTCTCAAACAACAACAAAATAGTTATTTGTTGTATAGAAGAATATGGTTTTAAGTGATTACTCAAATATTTTCCATCAGCTCCTGAAGCACCCTTTATTTGCTTCAAATGCCAAATGGCTTCTAATCTTCTTTGTAAAACTTCTTCAACAACAACTGAAAAGAAGAGGAGGAAGAGAAGGAGGAGGAGGAGAAAAGAAAGAAAGAAAGAAAGAAAGAAAGAAAGAAAGAAAGAAAGAAAGAAAGAAAGAAAGAAATCAAAGAAGTAAAAACAACTTTTGATTTGTTTTGTTTTTGAGACAGAGTCTCTCTGACTGTCCTGGAAATATGTATACCAGACTGGCCTTGAACTCATAGAGATATGCCTGCCTCTTTCTCCTGAGTACTGGGATCAAAGATGTGTGCCATCACACCCTGCAAACCCCGAAAACCCACTGTCTTGTTCCTTTGTCTTGGGCCAAATGCATTGTTGGTGCTGCAAGTTGTCTCTTCTGCTTTATTTGTACCCAAAAAACAAAACAAAAAAGCCACTAACTCAGATTTACTGTTTGTTTAGTGTCCTTTCCATAGTATAAAAACTATAAATAATAAATTAGCAAAATAACATATAAAGTGAGAGATGTGGGTTGAAATGATGTTTAACATAGCCATATGAATTAACAGTGTATTCCAGTATCAAACTTCAAGTTTCAATAATACAAAGCTGGAATTATTTTGTAACAACTTTGTACCATGCTTGCTCAGCAGGAATGAAATTCAGGTTTTATCCTTACTACAACATAAAGCCAGGCATGGCAGCACAGCCTGTAAGCATAGCACCTAGTGGGTGGAGGTGGACTGTGTGTTCCTGGCTGGCCTCAAACACAATTACAGAGCAAAGGCTGACCTTGAACTCCCAATCCTCCTGTTTCAACCATCATGCCACCTCAAAGAAGCAAAAGGATCAGGAATTCAAGGTCATTCTCTGTTACACAAGGATTTCAAGTCCAGCCTGGGCTACACACATGGCCCTGTCTCAAAACCAATCAATCAAACAACAACAACAATAAAAAAAAAAAAAAAAAAAAAAAAAAAACCACAAATTTTACATTATGTAAATTTTTTACCTGGACTTTAAATTTATACTACGTTAGAAGCTGGAAAATGTTATGGAAGAAGAAATGGGATATCAGGAGGTGTGATTGTTTTCAAGGAAGTCTCATTGAGAGAGTGGGTTTGCACAAAGGTTTGGAAAAACAGATGGAAGGGGCTGACTGAGGCAGCAGCCAGAGCCGGTGTGAAGGCACTGAAGGTTGGAGAGAGCAGCTATGATGGCGATGGGGATGATGGTAATGATTGTAGTGACAGTAATGCTGGTGATGGTGATGATAGTGATGGTGATGAAGATTATGATTATGGTGGTAGTGGTGGTGGTGGTGATAGCGTTAGCTGTAACGAAGACGGTGGCAGTGATGACAATTACAATTGTATGACATTTAAGCTTACCATATGCTCTCCTCAGCCCTGGACTCTTGATTCATAAGGAGTTATACTCATCCCCAGTGAGCACACTTCTGATCCTCCTGCCTCCACTGAGCAAGGTGTTTCCAGCCACACCCAGTGTACTCAGTGCTGGAGATCTGACCAGGGATCTGTGCAATAGAAAGCACTCTACTAAGCTATGTTCCCAACCCTAAGGGAGTAATTGTTCCATGCGTGTGTGTGTGTGTGTGTGTGTGTGTGTGTGTGTGTGTGTGTGTGCACGCATGCTGTTGTTGCAAGATTATTTCTTTTTTTTAAGATTTATTTATTTATTTATTTGTTTACTATGTATACAGTGTTCTGCCTGCTTGCTAGAAGAAGGCACCAGATCTCATAATTGATGGTTGTGAGCCACCATGTGGTTGCTGGGAATTGACCTCAGGACCTTTGGAAGAGAAGCCAATGCTCTTAACCTCTGGGCCATCTCTCCAGCCTGAGATTGAGATTGAGTATTTCTATGCATGGTATTCACTATGTGGGCCAGATTGATCTCAAACACTCACTAATCCTCCTGCTTCAGCCTCTAAGAGAATTAAGATTACATATGTGTAGCACTGTGCCCAGCTGATTTTGGATTATTGTTTAATATTCTATCTATCTATCTATCTATCTATCTATCTATCTATCTATCTATCTATCTACTATGCTCTCCCCCCTTCCACCCTGATTCTGGAATTTTGTTGGCATGTTATCTCACATCAACTGTCTGCAAGTTAACTATGTGGCCAAGGATGACATTGAACTCATGATCCTTCTGCTCCCATCTTTCAAGCTGTGGGACTACAGGTGTGTGCCACTGTACCCAGCACACACAGCTGAGGGGGAGTAAAGCTAGCCTGAAATAATCCTACAACAGTCTAATGCTCCACAGTCAGTTGTGCGTAGACTTCATTACAGATGTGGTTTTCCCTCTCTCTTTAAAAACATTTTTTTTTTTTTAAGACAGGATTTCTCTGTGCAGCCTTGGCTGTCCTGGACTCCCTTTGTAGACCAGGCTGGCCTCGAACTCACAGAGTTCTGCCTCTGCCTCCCTGTGTGCTGGGATTATAGGTGTTTGCCACCATACCCAGCTGACTCTCTTTTAAATTTTACTTTAAAAATTGGTGTACTAATTAAATTAGCATACAAAGTAATTGCTTTCCTCATAAGATTTTCTTAAGTTTTAAAGATTTATTGATTTTATTATTTTATGTGAGTGTTTTGCCTGTGTATATGTGTGTGCACCACATGCATGCAAGGCCCCCAGAGGCCAGAAGAGGGCGTCAGCTTCCTTTGCACTGGAGTTACAGATGGTCATAAATGTCCATGCATGCTGGGAATGCAAGTGGGTTCTCTGCAAGAGCAGCCTGTGCTGTGGACCTCAACTATGGGTTTGTAAACATACTTAGTTTGGGTTGATCTCCCCACCTTGTGTCTCTCCCCCATCTCCCTGCCCCTCCCCACCTGTACCCTATCACCCACACCCCTCTTTCCTCTGTGTCACAGGTGTTCTACACCCTCCACAGCTCCCTCCCCAGGGCCTCATTTCTCCCTTTATGTTCCTTTTCCAGTTTCCTGGCCTCAACCCACACTCACTCCTATACATACAGATTAATAGCTATGGGTCAGCTCGACAGCTCAGCAGGTCTTTGTACTTGCAAGCAAGCCTGAGTTACTGAGTAAAATAAAAGGAACAGAGCTGAAGAGATGGCTCATGGTTAAAATAACCACTCTTCAAGAGGCCCGAGTTCAGTTCTCAGCTGTGCCTTTGATCCCAGCATTCAGGGAGGCAGAAGCAGGCAGACTGCTGTGAGTTCAAGGCCAGGCTGGTCTACAAATTGAGTCCTCGACAGCCAAGGCTACATAGAGAAACCCTGTCTTGAAACAACAAAAACCCCAAAAAAACAAAAACAGAGTTCAGTTCTCAACACACATGCCAGGTAGCTCAGAGCCACCTCTAACCCTCCCCTGGCCTCTACAGGCACCCAGATAAACTCATATAAATATATGAAAAAAGGCAGAAACTCAAATAAAGCTGCCCTCTGACCTTCATGTGTAGTGTGGAGAGAGGGAACATACATTCAAAATAAATGTTTTTAAAAGTTATTTAAAATAACTTTTAATTTTAATAACTTAATTTTTAGAAATAAAAGAATTTGGGGGGACACAATTCATCCCCAGTTGTTTATGAAATCATCCATGTGACTGCTGTGGGGGTGGAAGTGCCAGGAGAGATCAGTGTTATAGCTTCTGGCAAAAGACAGGAGGGAGCGAGGGAGTGGGCAAAAATTTCAGACTGCGCACTCATCAACATGGCGGCGCACGCTAGCCCACGCTAGCCCACAGCTCCCCTTTGGATTGACTGGAAAGGCGCTCTTTGCCTGAGACCGTTCACTCTTACGTGCTGGAATAGGGCTCTAATAAATCTTCACTGTCAAGATGCTCCCACCTGGGGTTAGCCTAAAGACACTTCCTTGTGTAGTGCACAACCCCACAGCGATCCAGACTTCCCTGGAAAGACATACTGACCTGTCAGACTCAAGAAAATGCAAGCAGGGCCCAGGAAGCGAGGGAGAAGGAGGAGGGAAAGGACTTGGCTCTCTGGTGAAGTGCAGAGTACTCAAGAAGGGGTCTTGGGTAGGCCTACAGCTGAATCTCCCCACCCCCTCTCTCTCCAGGCAGTTTGCCAAGATTGAAGCTGCCACCCAGCACCTGGCCCTGTCCATCCTGTCTCAAAAACCACCTGCCCGGAGACCACCACCCCGAAGGCCACCTCCACCAGCGCCTCCATCCCCCTTCGTGGGGGTGGCATGTGCTGAGGCCCCCATGGAAGTGCCTCAGGACAGCCCCAGCCCGAGCCTAGCTGCCCTGGACGCCTCGACCCTTGACCTATTTGATGACATTCTGCTTACTCCTACATCTCCCTTGGTGACTCCTGACAGCTTCTGCCAGACTCTCACTGCTGGTAGTCCCCAGGTGACATCTGATTTCATCTCTCACACTCTGGGCCCAGGAGACCAGAGACAACCAAGCCTGATACAGGCTCCAAGGTTCTCCAGTCCTCTGCTCCCTCCCCAGAATGCCCATGGGGGAAGCCAGCCTGCAGCTCCAGGCTGGGGTTGGGTGGAAAGTTGGGAGGCACCTGGTGCCTGGGATCCTCAGGGAATCCTAGATGGCTGGGGAACACTTTGAAACCCACTTACAATACAGGCCACACCCATCTCTCAGGCCCAACCAACCTCTCTTCACCTGACAGACCTGAGACTATAGCTCAGTTGGTAGAGTGCTTGCCTATCATGCAAGAAGCCCTGGGTTCCTTGCCCAGAACCCCATAAACATCTAAAATAAACCCAAGCCCAGACTCCCACTGTGCACCAGAGCTGTGCTCCCAGACCCAGGGCCATCTGTGTCCACTTTAAGGACCCCTTGCATATCTCTTGCTTATCACATACGAAGAAGATGAAGGACTCTGGGAGGATCCCTGCACATGAATTTTCCTTTCTTCCTTCCCTGTGGCTGGGTTTTCCTTTCATACCTTCCCCTACACTGAATGAAGGTGTGTCCCTGTATTTTCAATAACTTGCTGGCAGAGCTAAGTGTTGGCAGAATATTTGGTACTGTCTCCTCTATGGCCTGTCATCAGCTTTCTATATGTAAATGCTTGTCCTTCCTCACCTGCCCAAAAGAAGTTTATTATGTTAAAAAGCAAGCTGCTCAATGCCAAAGGGCCCTCAATACCAAGGGACAACCCAAAGAGATGAATCTGGCATTGTCCTCCTGCTGATTGGTTCAGACTGGAATGTGGCTTTTTGCATAATAAAGAGCTGGTGGCTGGGCTGGGGCAGAGGCAGAACCACTAGGAGAGACACGGTTTAAGTTAGAGGCTGAGTGTCTGCCCCAGCAAAAGGCCAACAGCTGAAACTATATAGATGCCTCTGTGTCTATATTATTAAGTTGAGATCTTCGAAAGCCCTGTAATACTAGGTTGCTCTCTCTCCTCCACCCCACTCTAGTCTGCATGCTGTCTGTTCTGTGTCAATAGTCCCCCAATTCCACGGAGCATTGCTATGGGCCAGGCCCGGAAATCGGTGTTAGGATTCTGTGCAAACAATGAAGACAAGATTTCCAGCCTCATTTTCATGCCAATACACAAGAGCCCACAGAGAACTTTAAACAGCAAGAAGAATTAACAGTATATGATTGGAATGAGCATCACGATACAAATATAATGCTGCTGACTCAGTGGCTCCTGGACATTGTATGTGCAGGGAGGTCCTGCAATGCCAAGCAAAATCAGACTGTAGGAAGGCATTAGGCTCTGGGAGCAGGAACAGCACAGCAGAGGCCGAGAGATCAGACTCTGAGGATGAGAGACCAAAGGATTAAGAATCAGTGGCTATTATTTTAAAGTTTAAAGCACAAGCCTTTAGAAAGGCCAGCCAAGAGGAGATATGTTCCAGGAAAGGTTTCCTGGAAGAACTGGCCTTAATGCCCTGAGGGGAAGAACTAGCTTTACTGCACTCTTTCCTGCCCACTGGAGATACAGTTGCTAGGAAACTGGCCCATTCCCCCTAGGAAGGGAAGCCAGACAATTAATGGTTTAGGGGCCTTCCTATAGCCAATCAATTCAAAATGCAACATCCCTTTTTGTGTTTCAACCAATAGATGCTTGCCAGGCAGGAATCCAGAATCTTTAAATCACCCAACTAACATGAGCATGAGGCTATCAGCTCTCACTGCCCAAGCTGTAGCTTGTAATAAAAAGATCCTCACATGTTTTGCAAGGGACTGGACTCCTGGTGGTGGTCTTTTGGGGTCTCAAGATTCGGACACAACAAGGACACTAACAGAGGCCAGTATAGCTGGAAGGTTTTGAGTGTGGAGAGGGAGTAAGAGGTAAAGCCTGTCATGAGTTGAGGAAATTTTAAACTTAGTTTTTATTATGAGTCACTTCTTTTATTTTTAGACAGTGATAAGATTGCAGGCCTGTGCCATCATGCCTCCCACTCATCTCTTAGGGTCTTAGTGTCCCTTACAGGTGCTATCTAGTCTTTCTGTCCTGACCAGGGCAGGTCCCACTCCTGAGAGCCAACATCAGCTGTCTCTCTTATCCATTCATCTACTGGAGCTCCTCATGCTTTTAATGATCTAATTGCTCTCTTACATTCCATATTTGAATTTTCAAATGCCAAGATCTAGATCAACTTTCTGGTTTCAGGATCTGGTCTGGCTCTATTGAAAGCATAAGTCAATCTCTGTAATTCAAGTGTGACATCAAACTGGATTTGCTCTTGTAAATCAGCATAACGTGCTTCACCAAGCAGCTAGTCCTTAACAACATTTATCCTGCTTGCTTTATTACAGTGTTCCATTTTCATGGCTTTGTCCCTCCACCACGATAACCATTGCAATTGCTGACAAGCTTCTAGAACAACTGACACCAAACTCTTCCAATCTTTGGGAATAAGTCTGTTTTGCATAGCCCAATTATTTATCCTTGTTTAATGAATGGTGACTGCATCCCATATCTTAAAATAGACTCTTTAAACTCTTTTAAATCTAGCATGTCTATTGGATGCGATGTCATCTCATCATAAGCCTCTTCACCATCATTAGCAGGCATATGCTACACAAAGACTGGAAAGGCTGATGGTGGCTGTATAGGCCTAGACAACTCCTCTGGTGGTGTACCTGGCTCGAAAGGAACATGATTATCCTGTACAGCCTTCTGCTCTTCCCAGGCACTTGCCTCATGGAAGTGCTATGGACACTGGGTAGCAAAAGTGTGTGGAGCAGGGCGAGGCTGCTGCAGCCTGTCTTCCAGCCTATTTTGTTTCCCTCTTTCATGGGACCATGAAAGAGGGAAGACACCAAGATTGAGCCCCGTTTTTTCCTCCCACTGACTCCTTTTGCTTTCCAAGCACCTCACCCTCTATTCGCAAACTTTCTAGGAGCACAGCCAACACTGCAATCCTTTTTAACGCCAGAGAATTGATTTTCAGCTTTCTCCCCAATCTTTTTCAAAATGGAATAAATGAAGACTACAAAAGAAAATCAGAACCCCCCCACCTCTGGGCTGCTATTTTGCCAGTCTCCTTAGACAACATTGCCAAACCATTAAAACCTGACAATTCCGCCATTACCTTAGAAGCAAAGTTACCCACTGTGCCTAAGCCATGCTGGTTACCACCTGAAGGCTTAGATTTTTCAGCAAACCTACTTTATTTAGGATTCTTATACGTAGGCCTTTTTAGAAGTAGTTCTTTGGGATGAGTCCATTCTTCCTTGTCCAGATACCAGTGTTTTGCCCAGTTCATGAACCCCAAAAGATCAGAAATAAATAGACTCTGCTGTAAATACATGAGGTTCTTTTTATTATAAATCATTACAAGCTGCAGCTTGGCTCACACCCCGCCCGCACTACCGAAACGGTGAGAGCCGAGAGAGCCCCAAGCTCAGGTTAGTTGGGTGATTTAAAGATTCTGGTCCCTCCCAGCATGCCCAAGGCAGGGGCAATTCCTGCCTGGCAAGCATCTATTGGTCAAAATGCTGCATTTTGAATTGATTGGCTATAGTAAGGTCCCCAGACCATTAATGATCTGGTGTCCCTCCCTAGGGGGATGGGCCAGTTTCCTAGCAACTGTATCTCTAATGGGTGGGGAAAGAATGCAGGAAGGTGTTTCTTCCCCTCAGGGCATTACTGGACTTCTCCACTCAGCTAGTTCAGGCCTTAAATATTAATAGCTGCTGATTGTTAATCTTTTGGTCTCTCACCAGCAGCCCAGCCCAAAGGCCAACACCAAACAGCAACATGAATCAGCATGATTCAGCAGATCAGGTCAAGTCAGGGAAAGCCACAAGACTCAGTTGGATTGCCCTGAGAAGTTCTCTGGAACATTTCTTTCTTTGAAGTCGACTGTCGAAGCACAAAGATCAGTGTAGCAATGTTGATCCAAAAAGCAATGTCCGTGGGCTTCTATATATCTCCTCTCCTCAGAGTCCACTCACAGATGTTCTCAACTGGCCAAAGTCATGCCCCTCAAATGAGAAAGCTCAAGGCAAAACAATCACATGCCTTCTCATAAGCCAGCCTCCAGCAAAATATCACATGACTCTACTGAGTCTTCAAAGAAAGTAGAAACTTCCACTTCATCCCACCTTCCTGGGTCTCTTTGTCCTAGACAAACATCCTAGGGTAGGGTTGGGGTACTGCCCTTTCCTTTTCCAGCTCTTAAGCCCAGAAGGAAGGTCTGGGATTCCTCAGTAAGGAGCTACAGGGAGTGGGCTCCAGATCTCTGGAAGGCAAGGCTCAAAGCTGGCCTGCAGTGGCCCCTGCTGTGGCTAGGGCAGCATACTCTTGCCAGCCCAGTGCTAGCTGGTTTATCAAACCAGGCAGGACCTGAACACACGAGCTTGTGGTTTGGGGATGCTCCACAAGGGGGCGCCAGTGTCTGGAATCACTCCAGCTGGGTGCTGGCTTTATGTTTTGAGGGTCGCCAGGTATACACCCGTCAGCCTTTTCTTGTCCTTAGTCCCCGCAGTGGTGGAAGGAAGTGATGGTGTGGTGGGAGAGCATACATTCAATTATTCAACAAAAACTGAAAAATGAACACTTATGTGTAGAATCTGGGAATGCAGCAGCCAGCTATTCCTGGAGGATCTGGAAGGAAAACGTCCACAAACCAGAAAATAAGAAAGCACCAGCGCAGGAGGGACCCTGGGAGCTGAAAGATAGAGTGATATAAAAGTAGGGGAGGGGTGCTACTTCCATGAAAACACCCTCTCTGAGGGTGTCAGGCATCTACCATGGAATCCATGGAGGTCCCTGGTTTTCAAGGCCAGCATAATCTGCAGACCTAGTCCCAAGAGTCTTCAATGATCACATCAGATCCAAACTTAGGTGTCTTTCCTTTATTAGGATTCTCCAGAGAAACAAACAAGGATGAGTAAAATCAAGTATTATCCTTCAGCCAGCTGACCGATCATCCTACAAAGACATCAACAGATGGACATGGATAAACACACCAACCCAGCTATCTCTCTCCAAAAACAGAGATTATAAAGAATTACTTCATGGAATTTTGAAATCTGAGACATCCCAGAAATTTCTGTGACTTCCTCTCTCTCTTAGCATGCGATGATTCTGCTGGCCCACCCTCAGGGACCTAGCAATTGCTTGGGTCATAACCTGCCACTCAGGTCAAGTGCAACAGATATTAAGGGGACCACCCGCCACCATAGCTCTCTCTCAGCTCCCAGCTTTCTCTCTCTCCCTTTTTCCATCCTTGGCATCCCCCTTCTCTTAGACTCTTTTGTCTGCCTGTCTACTTGTCCACCTGTCTGCCTCTACCCCTTCTCCAGGTCCTCACTCCTTTCCCTTCCCCCAGTAGACCTTATACCAGATCTGCTGCATGGCATAATTTGTCAGGGGCCACCCTGGCATGGGCTCCACTATCGCACCCCTCCTGCAATCCTATTTCATAACACCTTCCCCTGCTTCCATGTAATCTGAGCTCTGTCTTTCTAGCTTTAGTTCAGGCAATCAATCTTGGTCTTCAAATATCACATGGAAATTTCCAGAAATAAACCATTCGTTAAATCTGTGTGCCATTCTGAGTGATGACAAACTCTTATACCATCCATCCACTCCTCGCCACTAGAAAACAACTCTTTTGTGTGGTGTATCCATGCTGTATATGCCCCTCCCCAGCTAGTCCCTTAGTGATCATCTCAGTTCCATAGTGCTTGTGTGTTCCAGCATCCCTCATTTTACCTGCTGAAAGTGGTAACCGGGTAGAAAAAGGCAAACTCATTTGAAAGACTCCTCTGAAAAGAACAGTGCATCTGTGTTTTCAAAGACCTCTCCAACACCCTGGTGTCTCCATTGCCACCTGGGTTTCCCCTCGATAGCTTTATGGGCTGCCCAGTCAAGAGCTCCATGAAGGAAATCTGTGCACACACACAGTCTGGCTCTCCAGGTCCCTCTCAAGTACCCTGGTACAAGCCTGCACGGTGCTGTACAGCTGAATGGGTGCATGTCCAGAGGAAGAGCTGTTTAGGGAAATGTTTTCCCAGGTTTAGTCATGTGGGTGGGTGCTCAGAGGCCTTTGCAAGTGCAGTAACAGGGGTGAGGGGGGTAGGGCAGCAGGGTAGCAGAGCTTGGATTTGAACGCCCGCAGAATGCAGCGTGTCATGGAGGCAGGCCAGCAGGGCTGGTGTAAGTACCACCTGAGACGGAGACGGCCGGAAGTCTTACTTCAAGATGCACACACTGCCCTACCACGCAGATGCCGCCTGTGTTTGGCCCCGCTAGGGGCTGAGCAGAGGCACCCACAGCCCTCACCTACTGAAGCCTCATCTCCTTCTAATACCTGCACACCCCAGTAGCCCCGGTGACGCTCTGCAAACCCAATAACAGTTCAGTCCACAGCCACATCAATGTTTATTTGGAGTCTGGATCCCGGTCTGTCACACTTTTTTGCCCTTTGCTCATGAGGTAGACCTGAGCAGAGCCCCCTCCATGTCTCCTCTGTCAAACCCCTGCCCCCACTTCCAGCACCCAGAAGTCTCATTTCCATTTCCAGGACCAGCTGTTCAACCAGGAAGCAGAACACCCCTCCTCTCCCACAGGGTGGGACCTCTTGGGATTCAGAGGTGAGGAAAAATGCTTCCTCCCAGCAATGCTGGAGTAACATTCCCACCTCGGTCAGGGCCTGGAGTTCAGTGAGAGGGGGCTCTGGCCTTGGAAGAGACCCAGCAGCCCACTGTCTGGGACTGGCTCCTTAATGATCTTCTGGATCTGCAGACAGAAGGCAGGAAGTCAAGAGGCTCCCTATCTCTTCGGTCTGCCGGGCAGCCTCTCTCCTTCCCACTAACCACTCTCCTAAAAAGTCTTCCTGGGGGCTGGAGAGACCAATAGGCCAGTAATAGCCTTTTCTGTTCTTGCAGAGGACCTGGGTTCAATTCCTACATCCCACATGGCCGCTTACAACTCTCTAACTCCAGTTCCAATGGGTCCAATGCCCTGTTCTAGACTCTCTGGGCCCCGCACATGTGGTGCACAGACATGCATACAGGCAAAGCATCCACATGCATAAAAGTAAAATAAAATAAGTTTTCTTGGGCTGGGCATGGAGGCACACTCCTTTGATCCTAGTACTCAAGAGGCAGAGGCAGGCATATTTTGGAGTTTGAAGCCAGCCTGATCTACAGTTAGAGTTGCATACCAACCATGCTTACATAGTAGGCCCCTGTATTTAAAAACAGTGTTGGGGGGAGTGCCCTGGGGATGGGCTAGGAAGATGACTCAGTGTATAAAGCATGTGTACAAATATGAAGCCCAAGTTCAGATACCCAGAACCCATAAAAGCCCTGGCTGGGCAGGGCCCACTGGAATTCCAGGCTCTGAACCCCAGAACAAGTGGGCTGGTGAGAAGGTAGCCACAACCTCATGCTCCAAGTTTGACAGAGAGACCCCCCCTCTTCATGTATAAGGTAGAAAAGGCATCAAGGAAGGTTCTAGACACAAACCTCAGGTCTCCACATGCATGCACACACATATGTGCTCAGCACACCCACGCAAATACTCACATACACCCACTCTGCATGAAAGCACACAACCACACACACACACACACACACACAAAGTAAGAAAAAAATGGTGCTCCCTTTCATTAACTTCCTGTTGCCTTGGGCCACTAATGTGGACAGCTCTGTCTTAGGTTCTCTTGCCTACACCTTCCCCTTCTTCACTAGTTTCATCTTTCCTGTCATACCTTTAGGCTTTCACCTCCCACACAGGCCCAAACTGTGTGCATGAACTCTCAACTCATTTACACAACTCCCTGCTGGTTGAACAAGAGTAATCAACCGCATTACTGTCATCATTTAGCTCCAGAAAACTAAACCAAAACAAATAAACAAAACAACCCCAAAGTGTGTATCTCCACTGCCTCTACCCTGGTTAAGCCCCACAACTGATTTCAGGATGACTGAAGAGGCCTCCAGGCTGGTCACACCTGTGCTACCTAAGTAATATTGCAATTTCAGCCTGTCCTGCACCTGATCTTTTTCAAAAGCCTAAAGAAATTATATTCCTCAGTAAGACATAACGGTGCATAGCTGTAATACTAGTAGTGTTCAGGAGGCTGAGGCAGGAGGATTGTCATGAGTTTGAAGGACAGGCTGAGCTACAGAGTAAGATTGTCTCAAAAAAAAAAAAACCAAAAACAAATAAACAAAAAAACCAGAAAGGCCAGCAAGCTGGCTCAGTAAGCAATTGCCCTTGTCTTGTATCCTGGGAAGCCACATGGGTAAAGGCGAGAGCTGACTCCCTCAAGTGAGTGTGCACACACATAAGCACATAGTCAAATAAATTAGGAAGCCCTGTGCAGAGCTTTAAAAAACAAAACAACAACAATAACAAAAACCATGCTAGGTGGTGGAATTTGCACTTGGGAGGCAGAGGCAGATGCATCTCTGTGAGTTCCAGGCCAGCCTGATCTACAGAGTTCGTGCTCAAAACAAAACAAAACGAAACAAAACAAATAAAAACAATAGCAAAGCCAGCTGGGTGTAGCGGTGTGTGCCTGTAATCCCAGTACTGGCAGCAGAAGTTTCAAGTCACCCTTGCCTAGCCTACAAAGAGTGTCCAAGGCCAGCCTGGGACACAGGAGACCTTAGATCAGGAGAGGGTACTTCTGGTCAAAGAAGCCCTGAGGGCCCAATACCTCCTTGAACCGGGGGTGGGCGGCATCCCTCACAAGCTGCAAAATGAGTGACTCGCTGGTGGAGAGGAAAGCGCCACTCTGCTTCATGCGGGCCAACGCCGCCAGCCGGTCCACCTGGCTACAGTGGGGGAGAGAGGGCAGGTGTCCATGTTGTGGCCTGCCTGACTCGCAGAGCAGGTGCCTTCCCCAACAGAGCCTCTCACCTTCTAGAAGAGCAGGCGTCCACCACCGCATGGACATGTAGTCCTCTGTCTAGGAGGTCCAGGGCCGTGTTCTAAGGGCAGAGAGGTCAGGTCCAGATTCAGAGCAAAAACAGGGCTCCGGCTGAGGGACTGGGGAGCCCCAGTCAGAACTGGGTGCTAGGCTTCAGACCTGAGACAAGCAGTTGTGGTGACAAGCAGCTACGGTGACTTTTCAACCAGGTTCTCCCAGAATCCCTCAGTCCCTACCTGTACAAGATGTGGCTGGCATTCCTGCCCTCTACCCTGAACTCTCCAAATCTGGGACCGGAGACTTCCTCTCCCCCAGAGGCTCTTCAGTATATAACCCAGACATTTTGTTTCCCACTTTTCTTCTCTCTGTTTCTTTTCTCTCTGTGTCTCTCCTTCCCCCGCCCCCCCCGGCAAACTCAGTAATCAACTCTCACCCCCGACCCTCCTAACCCCACTTTTCTGTCTCTCTCTGCATTGCAAGGAGGCTTCCTTGGCCCTGATCCTTGGGACCAGTGAACCCACCCAGAGCTGCTCCCAATACAAGTACATGTAAATGCTTTAACGTGTCTTGACTTAGCTCATTTCACTGGCCAGTTGGGTATTTGGAATGAGGATGAGGAAGAATCAGCCAGGGCCCCGGGGCAGGAGGGAAGACCAGGAAGTGAGGATGGGGAATTCAGGGGACAGGTGGGGCCTCACCAAGACGCAGACGTGGGTCTCAATGCCACAGAGCAGCACAGACCTCAGCTGGGGCCAGCCATCCAGCTCCTGCTGTAAGGCGGGAACCATGCTGAAGCACGTCTTACTTACTGGCCGAATGCCCTGAGCGCCCAGCTCGGGAACTGTGGGGCCCAGGCCCTGTGGGTACTGCTCGGTCAGCAGGACAGGGACGTCCATCAGCCGGGCCACCTACACAAGTAAAGAAACACAGGGACTGGATGTTTGAGGATGAGGGCTAGAGACTGGATTCTCGGGGTCTGAGGGCTGAAGGCTTGGGCCTGGACCACTGGGTCTTGAAAAGAAAAGGGTAGCACATACCTTAAGCATTCGAGCCGCCACCGACACAATCTGTGGGAAGTAGGCTATGCTGGGGCGAAACTTCTCCTGCAGGTCACATAGGAACAGGACGGAGGACTCTGGGAGGATCCGGCCCAGGCTAGCCCTGGCTGCTGCCATTTCCTAGCTGTGGACAGAGGCACAGAAGGCAGGGTCTGGTGGGCTACCTACCAGTAGGGATTCAGTGAAGTCTTTAGTAAATGTGCGCTTTTGACAAGGGGAGCAACCATGCCAAGAGCCAAACCCTCAGACCCATGGGAAATGGGCAAAGACTTCCCCAGATGCGGCTCGAAAGCCTTTTTCAAGTCTGAGTCTGAGCAATGGCAGTGTGTGCAGGAGATGTCCACTATGGCGTTCTCCCCCTGCCCCTGATGTTTATGACCTTAAGGCTACTCTTAACAAAGACTGCTCCTACGAAAATCAGCTAATCCGGCCTCCTTTGCTTGGCCATACCCAATAACCATGTCCTCTCATTTATCTGTATTGCTTAACTGCCTCCCTGTTCAACTGTATCTAGTAAATGCACTGAGCTTGCGAGGGCGGGATGCTACAGCTTTTCATTAGATGGCCCAGTGTACCTCAAGTTTGCTGTGTGTGTGTCCCTTTCCCTGTCTTCACTCCCTCAATGCCCTGGTGAGGTCAGTCCTTGGAGCTGCACAGGATGCAGCATGGGCTGAGGGACTCATCCAGGACTCACCTGCTTGGTTTTATGGTTCATGTACCTTGTGCTCCTGCTCCCAGCTCCAGGCCCTTTCAACTGCTCTCCTTAGCCTGGATTTCCTCCCTCCCTCCCTTGTTCCTTCCCTTGCTAAAGCTACTTCCCCAAGAAGCCTTTTTGGAGCATGTCTGCCTTGGCTCCAGTGTCATCCTCTAGATAACCACGGCCCAGCCATCACCTCCTGCCCCCCACATTCCTGGCTTTCTCCTTCCCGTATAAAGATTGTATAATGTCAACAAGTACACTTTCTACCTGTCACTGGATGAGCTCACTCAGGCCTCCACCCCTGGGGAAACTGAGGCCTAAGTAATAAAATGACCTATCCAGGGGTATAAGATCTGGGAAATTATCTTTGAGATGAAAAAGGCTTTCCACCTTACTGCCTCAGACAGGCCTCTCCTTACCAGAGTCTCTCTGTCCTCCTCCACTGGGGCACCATGCCCAGTTTCTCTATCAGTGCTGGGCATCTGAATCTACGCTGGCTTTCTACATGGTGGTATCCCCTGAACGACATGCCCTTTACTGAATGAGCTACCTCCCAGACAAGTTTAGGCTAATGAAGCCACTTGCCCAGAAACACTGTTACAAAAGAAAACCCTGCATTCCAAAGAGGCCCCATCATTCACCCTGCCTTCTCCTGTCCACTGTCTCTACACCCATCAACAGGATCTGAGGTTTCATAAGCCCATGTTTCTAAGAGCCTGTATTGTTGCTGGGTCTTCAAACTACTACACAGCTGGGGGTTCCCACTGGCTTTCTTTGCAGCTCTTTCCTGTGTCTGTGTGTAGATCTGTTTGTGTTCAGACATCATTATTCACTTAGTGGGATATGGAGACACAAGACTCAACAACGAGGACACAAGGGAGGTGGACACAACAGAGGGGACACTGAGGGAGGTGGACACAACAGAGAGGACACTGAGAGAAGTGGAGTCACAACAGAGGGGTCACTGAGGGAGTGGTGCTAAGCAACAGACTGTGATTGTGTGTGTGTGTGTGTGTGTGTGTGTGTGTGTGTGTGTGTGTGTGT